TGTCGTACCATCACATGACAGAAGCTGGTGGACGGTGGTCCATCCAGCCGTCTGGCTTTAGATAAAGACTGTAAAAGATATATACAGAAAATGAAGCCAAATTTTACGAAATCAAACAAAAGCAAAAGAATCTTGTAACTTTCAATCATATGGCACAAGAACTATGCAATAAGGACATTAATAAAAACTTCCACTAGACCACCAACGATCACAGAACAATGTCATTTTAAATCGAATTGAATAATAAAATATCAGAACAGCGTATCAAAGTGGCGTGACGATGAAAGTACTTTATCAGTAAAATACCTATGGCACGTCCAAATCGTGGGTCATTAGCTATTAATGGTTGTCATTCGTCAATGTGTAGCATCACAAAGAGATTTCAATTGAAAACCAGACTTCTGACCGATGGAGCATTCAACAACTTAGACAGAACGATATTCACAAACTAAAGTGGAGCTTCCCTGGATGAAGAACGCATGTATTCTGAGACAAAATATTATATTAACTCAACGATTACCTACTAAAGAACAGTAGTTCACATACATATTTAATTAGACAAGATCGAAAAGAAGAGAAAGAAACAGAAAGTATGAGTAAAAGGAAAATTACGCTTTTAAAAATACCTATTAAGTAGGTAGGTACCCAATAATATATATGAAATAAAAACAATTTATTACGTAAACATCAATACATTTTGTCAAAACGAATTCTAAATGTGTAAATCCATATCAATTAGTTTTCTATAGTCCACAAATATTAACAACAGGCCTCAACACATGTTATTATGTTAATGATATTGTAACTAAAGCTTCTAGTAAAATGATGTCACAGACTATTATTGACGATTATATCTTCTATCAGCCAAACATGATTTACGAAATAATATTATGCCCTCGTTTAAACGAACAATGTTTTCATTTTACCAATTTATTATGGATCAGGAGATTATTCTTGTTAAACATAGAGCCATTATGGGCACAGTGTAGGGGAATCGTAAATCGAAAGTTAGCTTTAAACTCAGTAAACAAGAGCTCGTTACCCACAAACGTTAGACACTCATATTCGCATATGTTTGTCACAGTTTCACAAACCATAGTTCCCGCGGCCTATTGTTTACAAGAATCTACGTTCAATGGTAGATTGGTTGAGATTAACCAGTCGTGATGTGGCCCATATCTCGATGAAAGCAATCACGATCACCGCCGGAGACATACTTGTCACACGAACAGTTCTTGAGATGATCACGACGTGGCCTCGAGTCCATACTTACACAAAAGAAATCAAATAAAAATATTAAGGACATGAATATGTTACATGACAAAAGCTGTCCTTCAAATTGTGAGTAGGTACTTAACTTGCAAAAGTTCCATGATGGATGAAGTTTTGCAATGTAATGATGCAAAATGATAAATAACAAGTTTTGAAAGAAGGTTTGACGTAGGATATTTGTTTAAAAATATTTCTGAAATTCAGGGATATCAACGAGAACCGGACGATGCACCTACCTAGAGATACCTAAGTAGGGATTACTTCAAATTAGCTCAAGACATAATGAGAAATTATTAGCACAGTAACAACAAATTATCGAAGTTAATAGTCTCATACTGGTTACAAGTGGGTAAATCGAGCATGCAATATTTCATGCTTAGATGAATTAAATAATCATACACGAAGGAAATATAACGGTTCATAAATAGGGAGGATCTGTGCAATGACAGAATCGCCCATGAACATATTTAGTTAACGGGCACTAGTAGTTGTTAAGTAGTGTACATACGGCAGACGGCAGCAATTCAATTCTTGCATATCCCAGAAACGGGAGCTCAATTTAAATATTAATCGAATAAGCTTTTGATATGATATTACCAGTGAGCTGCGCGACGTCGTCGCCGCGAACGCGCACGCTGCTCATGAGGAAGAACCCCTCTGTGGTTTGAAACTAGTAGAGCTTTTCACAGTATATTCACATGAGTAACCCGCGATTTTAGTTAATTTAGTATGTCTCACGACAGTTATTATAAAAACATGATATTACAAGTATAAATCGATTGGTTCTATTTTTATTATTAATTTAGTAATAGTTAGTTTTAATTTTATTTAAGTTTTTATTTGAATAAATTATTTTCAAAAATTGGTTCTTAATTTCGATAAACGCCAACACAGTTCTGCAGCGAGGCAGCATGAGGCGTATTTATCTGCATAGACGTAGTTAATTATACAGACATTAAAAAAAATTGCTTCTCCACCTGGCTCGAGGCACGTGCCTCGTTCACCTGTTCTTTAGTCGCACTTTTAAATAAGTAGGCTCTCGAAACCGGCAGTCATTGCTGTTGAACCATGCTATTATTTTTTGTATACGCTACAAAATTGCTGCATCGTACGTATGTAATTATAAGTCAGCAATCGTTGTGATAGCAGCCTTATATTATCTGTAAATGTTGATGAAGGCATAGATGTGGTTTTAAATCATTCGAACACTAGAATTAAGCAACTGTAAGAACAAATACACAAGAAAATGGAATAGATTAGTTAAACTTGTATTTGGTGAAATAAGGCCAAGTATTGCATAAATTCGAAGTTGATATTTCTGTTTACATCTGGTACCTACCTACCTTAACATGAACTATAAACTATGGTCGAGACTATAACCAATTGGTTTAGAGTTTACACACGTCTGTAGAGGTATTTTGGAAACCACATCAAATGTAGGCTTTGTTGCAAAATAACGAAAAAGATTATGTACAAAGACGGAAGCCATTTGTTATAGCATCAAGATCAACAAAACTTAACACAAGGGTACCTAAGTTTAAATTGACTTGATCAAATTCATTGCGATAGTCAACATAAAATCGAGGCCAATTTTATCTAGCACGCCTAGATATTTCCCTCTATTTCGTCTAAATATTGATTTCTAAAGCCTAACTCTTTTCTAGCGTGTTGCACGTCAATTACTTTTATACCTCTACATGCATTAGCGTTGTGTCAAGGTAGATAAAAACTAGTGCAAAATACATAGGTACGGCCACAATAAATATATTATATGGTTAGACTACAATACTTTTATGTCGAAAAGCCTTTCGCCGCGCCGTTGAGAAAGACGTAGTCTAAAAATTCAGTTCGTGGTCACATGTCGGTCTGACCAACTTTGAAGTTGATTTAGTAATAACTCTATTATATTAATTGCAATATGGTTCGACTGATCAATTTTAGATTGACACGTCTAGAACATTGGCCTTAATTAATTTACAAGTTATTATATTAAGCAGTTTCTTTGAAGAGGGAAAATCACCGAATCACTCCTGCCGCCCTGGATGACGCTAGAGGGAGTGCCAGATTTAATAACTAAAAACCACCCCGTTAAAACTCCTTCTTCGAGTCGGAGCCATGGTAAGTCGGCAACCCCCTTGCTGTTCTCCGCAGCCCCAGCCGGGTACCTATCAAGTCTAGTACGCCTCACCAGTGGTGGTCTGATGGCTCTTAAGTTACATTTTTTTGCGGTATAAACCGGTAAACTAGCAGACAGATCACCTGGTGGCAAGCAATCGGTGTCGCCCATGGACATCCCAAACACCAAGAGTTGTTAAAGGCGTTACCGGCCTTTTGGGGATTAGGAATTTTAGGATATTTGTGGGTTAATGAGTTTTGGGATTGATGAGAATTGGGCCTCCGGTAACCTTATTCACACGACGAAACACAACGCAAGTGTTGTTTCACGTCGGTTTCCTAGGAGCCATAACATCACGCTATTCACACTCTATAACATTTTCTACGAACAAAGCAAGAAAAAGCTTCGACAGTTTGCAAAATCACGGTCAACAGCTAAAGCGCAGCGCATTGACCATAGGTAAGGCAGTTAGCTTTTAAACAAAACGACGCCGTGGTAGTGAGGCCAACGTCACAATCGAGACCTAGAAAGGCACACCTACTGAGATTGGACATTAATATTCATGTCATTGACTCAATATAATAATATAGACAGTTTAATCAACAAAGGATTTGCTAAATGACAACGATAACTGCTTTTATTGCTCTAGAAAGTAGGTAGTTATGTTTATTACTTTTTATCCTATAGGAACTTACTTACACCTTATAAGAGAACGCTAGACTAATTCTAGTAAAGTAGGTAGGTAGCTGAAAATATTTGAAGGAAAATTATTTTGGTCGCAATTTTAAAACGAAATTCGGTAAAAATCACTAACGAACTCTGTTTCGTTTCTTTTTTTTCCAAATACCTGGAATTAGTATCATGTAGAATTCGAATTCACACTCACCATCAAATCCGCAGAATAGCACAACGGCAGTCCTTTTATTCAGTCAAAATTAACACTTCAATATAATATTTTGAATCACCTTTAGTCCCACATAATCCATCACTTTGGGCTCATATCACGAATTGTACTTAACAAAACTGAATTCACAAAGGTTTATGTCACAAAACCAATAAAAAGTCTGATAAAAAAATCGGATGAAACAAAAATCACATTCGAATTTTGAATCACAACTTTCCCGCCAAATGTTTATTTATTTCGTCGATACCGGCAGGGCAGGCAGAGAGCGCGCAAGGCACAGCAACACGCGCGTCCAACCACGAGCGGAGCCGGTTCGCTGTTGATTATTTTATTTTGAACTCGATGGCCGCGACCGCGCTGTCGCGGTTCAAGCGCGCAACGGCCGAGCGTCCCTCGATTTACGATACCAAAAAAAGGAACTCTTAAAAACAATCCCTTTCTACTGTAATGGGATAAGAACTTTTTTAAATTAGGTGAGGATAAAAAATTACTAGCCGCATTATAACCAGTTTATTGATTGCGTAGCCCGCTACGGTGTTTTGGAAAACAAAATAAATAATAGTAGGTATCAACAGATTCAACGGAGAAACATGCACAACAAATATCCCACAAAACATGGTTTAACATTATAAAAATTCAAAATAGAAGATTACTATTTAACAACACATTTCATTTAAAAAAAAAAGTTGTTATATTATTAAAATCTAATGTTGGGCCTTATTTATACATTATTAAATTTACAATTTATTCACATAATTTATTCATTACGTTTAATTTCACACACTTGAAGTACCCACAATAATTTATGAAGAAAACAATACTTCGAAACCTAGAACTAGTGCCATCTAGTAGCTACAAGTTGCATTAGCTTTCTGTAGGATTCTCTTCACAGTTCTGTTGATTGACTTCATTATCTTTCTCTACTTCACTTTCTAGCTTCTCAATGTCTTCTATACTTAAATCTCCCTCGAAATCATTGATATTTTTATTCTTATTAATGTTACCTCTTTTTAAAAACGGTTCATGCAATGCCTTGTAGAGCTTTTTAGCTTTCGTCGCGCCAAACCCTGGACACTCGGCTAATCTAGTTTCCGACGCCTTTATTATATTTTCTAATGTTCCAAATATTGATATTAAAGTCATGGCATCCGTTTTGTTCACTGGTTTTATTGTTGTTAAGGCATTTACTACCTAAAAACAAAATAATTATCTTGTTCAATTACATAATGAAAATATTTTTAGACATTATAAAGGCTTTGATTTGACTGCCTAGAGAAAGCTGTTGTGCTGAAAATCCTCTGTACTAAACATGGCGGTAAAAATTAAAATATGCTATCTGACCCAGGACTTTCTAAAATGCGAAAGCTTGTTAGTTTTTGTGTATATGTCTGTTATTCAAACACATCAAAACTGCTGAAGGGATCAGGACGAAATTTGCAACAGAGGTAATTTATGGTCTGCAATATTACATACATAGGCTACTTTCTATCATACGGGAACGAAGGTGAAGCCACTGGTAGAAGCCTAGGCACATAATACCTCTATGCAACCAATATTTTGTCCTGTGAGACTTTCTACTACAAAACTATCCTGTACAATGTGGATGTAGGTTAAAGGTTAAAAGTCCACTGCCACCGTAAGCTACTATCGGTTGCGCTGCAGCGGTTATACACACATGCACACGCATATTTTTATCCGTCTGCGTACGCGTGCGTGTGTTTATGCGTACGCACGCGTTTTTATGCACATTAATATGAAATTACTTACGCATTGCCGTGTGAACATCACTCACATTGGCAGTGGACTTTTGACCTTTGACTGTACATAATATACTATGTAAACATGGGGTTCTTCAAGAAGGGAGTAAATAGGTTTTATTAGGGTGGACAAGGCACATGTAATGCCCCAAGTGTTGCATGCCTTCATAGCCCATAGTAACCACTTACCATCAGGTAGCCCATGTGCTTAACTTGCCACAATTGTGGTATAAAAAAAAATACAGTTATGATGTCTATATAGTTATAATGTATATGTTATGATGTCTTTACCTTTTGATGAGGATCATTTTCGATCTTCTCCATGATCCTGTCAGGTGGCTTATTCTCATAAATCTTGTAATTTTCTATAATCTTGGCTGCTTCCTCTGGATTCCATGCCAACATTAGAGTTAAGTCCGTCAGCAAGCATATTCTTGTTAAATTTTTTAATACTACATGTGGATCTTTGAGGTCAACCTAAAATATAGAGTTCATACTATTAATCTATACTTTATTATAATATAGTGATATACTTTATTTTTATTTTACCGACTGCCTTGTTGGCCGAGTGGTCGCAAGTGTGACTGCCGGGCAAGGGTCTCGGTTTCGATTCCCGGGTCGAGCAAAGTATTACTGGTACAAGTTTTAAAAAAATTCTCTGTAATAGCACGGAGTCTGGAATTGTGCCCTGTATATGGCAATAGGCTCACCCCCTATTACATGGGCCTCATAACATAAATAGTGAAAAGTGGGTGTTACATTGTAAAGTGGCATAATGTGCACCTCTGCCTACCCCTTTGGGGATAAAAGGCGTTATGTTATGATGTTTATTTTAATATAAGCTGTTTGTTTGTTTGAAGCCGCTAATCTCCAAAACTACTGTTCCAATTTGAATAATTATTTTGTATTAGATAGAGCATTTATCAAGGAAGATTGTAGGCTATTTAACATCACACTATGACCCATAGGTGCCAAGCAGCGGCTGAATCTTTGCAGGAGTAGCTAGTAAACAATAGCATAAATGTTTATCTCTTCAAAAATAAGTAATGAAGTATTTGACTTCAATAGTTAGTTTTCTTTCAATTGTTCTCTACATAACATAAGAACAAATAAAAAATAGGTACATTACAAGTTACCTGTATTAATAGAACCCTAAGTTCATATTTCTTCCCAAGCTCCTTGATCCGGTTATGTATATAATCTGGATTCATGTTGTGATACCGCAGTGAGAGGAAGAGCAAACATATTGTCTTACCCACCTCATAGTCGGGAATTATATCATCATACTCCCAAGGAACACTTGTTATAAACTTTAGTACTGGATTTCCTCTCTGTAAAATAACTTTCAGATTGTAACAAACACAGACATGTTCAAACAGGTCCACAAACAGTTTGTTTTTAATTATTAAATTGTAATTGTTAATCAAATCATAAATGGTTGAATATATATTAATATAGAATAATTAGCAACAACAATGTTCACAATGCCTGCAATTTTTTTATGATATTTACATAACAAAAGAAATTTGGAACTGAGTACAAAGATATTTAGAATAAGCAAAACCAAATAGATACTAGATAATTACTTAAAATTCTGTTTGAATCAGATGAGGAACATGAGAATTTTTTTTTCTAAAATTTTCGTGTCGTAAAATGTAGATGTTCATCAGTTAATAACATACCTGTTTCTGATTTACTAACACACAGTGTGTCTTAGAAGAGGCCGGCTTAGAAACAGTCTCCTTAGATGTTCCTGAAATTTAAGTTACAACAATTAAATTCAATTGTATTCTTATAGGGCACTCATATATTGATTTTAGCAAATTTATTACATGAACATTCAGTTTAGATAATAAAACTTTTTACAAAACTCCTCACCCGGTTGAACTTGCTGTAAAGTTTCCGATTCAAGTTTTACTTGCTTTGGAGATGTTGGCTCACTGATTTGGGCAAGTAAATCATCAAAACCGTCTTCTAATTCCATGATACTATATTAAGAAGTTAATCAATTATTAAAACGAATTATTAAGTTGCAAGTTTAAAATTTAATTCAAATACTTTGCGACTCGTGCTTTTGTGTTTACCATTTATTTACTTTTTTGACAAGTTTATTTGACAGATAGATTTCATTTCACGATTTCATTCATCCATAGTTGGTGAATAGTTGGTGAATACGCAAGTAAGTTTGTTAACGCCAATACATAAGAATAAACTGTTTCTTCAGTAATTTTATGCGGTTTATGTAGCTAGGCATTTATGAGTAATTTATAAATTGTAAGTAAATATTTAGATAACGTAACGATGATCTGATAAAAAGACAATTTTGTAATCTGTTTCTAGTGCTGTCAATGTCAGCAGTCAGCACTCAGCACAGCAGTACACGATCTGTCAGACTGAAACCTAAAGTTTTCGTTTGGCCGCGTAAAGGTTTGCAAATGTGTGTTATCTTTGTTTATTTGACTATGTAATATAATATAAAACATCAACTGCAATGATCATCGATGACTCAAGTGTTGTAAACAAAGTTTAGAGTTCTTTCGACTCAATACAAATCGTCCGATGTGAAAAATGTTTCTTTAATTTAGTAGTAACACAATGTTAAAGATTTACTATGAACAACCTGCCTTCTACTAGTAAATCAAAACAAAATGATGGATTTGAAGACGATGAAATATTCGAGGACTCTTCGTTGCTGGCCGATTTTGATAATTCCTTTGTGCAAAGATCTAAGTTCTCTGAGAGTAACTTAAATGATTCCAGAAACAAAAGTGGACTTAACATTAGGTATGTGTCTTAAATAGTATTAAAAAATATTTATGAAAATGTTCCTTGATCTAAACTCTTAAATCACAATATTTTTATTGATTACACTATCCCGATGTGGATAAAAGTTTGCAAAGGTGAACAACTTTAATGTTATAGCTATAAATACTTACAATATTACCTAATTCTTTTTTTTAATTAAAATGTTGCCCCACACTCTGTGGTTGACACATTGAGTTGTTCCGTGCGTCCACCGAGCATACCGTGCAGTCAACTCAATGTACTGTTTGCCTTAATGTCTTAACACAGTCTGCACACTTGTACAGTTTACTTTGCATCCACCCACTTCCATCAACTAGCATGTACCTAATATTGTTTCCAGTGCTTTATGTTGTGATGAGGAGATCAGTGGATATGACAAGCTAACTGGCAAGACATGGATCTACCCAACCAACTACCCAGTCCGAGACTACCAGTTCAATGTGATCAGAGCGGCCATACTTCAAAATACTCTGGTAAGACAATTTTAATGTATTTATGTATTAATTATAAGCCATTCAAGATAATAAAGCTTGTGCTAGAAGATACATTTTTAAAAATCAATTTTCTGGCTAGTTATTCTTTTCCTCCTATGAAGTTCACAACACTTTTTCCCTATTTTTATAGTTAGTTAGTCACCATGATCAAAGTACAATGAATTTTCTTATTTTCATTTAATATTTCTGCTCACAAAATAACACTTTGAATGTTTTTTCACTAGAAATAAACATTTACATATATTTCAAGCATATTCAAGTAGAAAAGAAATATTGTTTTGCTGATGAAGGATAAAACATTTGGTATATATACCAAAATATTCCTGCACAAAATAATCCCATCGAATATTTAAGTAAATTGTCAATTTTGTTCCAGGTCAGTCTACCGACAGGATTGGGTAAGACGTTTATAGCTGCAGTGATAATGTACAACTTCTACCGCTGGTATCCGCTGGGCAAGATAGTGTTCACCGCACCAACTCGCCCATTAGTTGCGCAACAAATTGATGCATGCTACAACATTATTGCTATACCACCCAATGATACTATAGAAATGACAGGTAATACTTACATATTTAAATTACAATTTCTAACTGATTCAATTAATTGAAATCAAGTTTTCAAAACATTTACAAATAAACAATTTTAGCACAAAAAGTAATTTGAATGTATAATAGTGCCTTCTATGCAACTAGCGAATCGCCCCGGCTGCGTATGGGTGCAATGCTTATGTAAATATACCTACTACAGAAGAACATCTTTTTTGTCATCATGTATTATACATATAAACAAGTATTGTAGTAGTAGTATATATTATACATATAAACAGTGATTGTCAACGATCGTTAACAATCACTGTCACTCTATCTATTAAAAAAAACTGCATCAAAATCCGTTGCATAGATTTAAAGATCTAAGCATACATATGGACAGACAGACGGCAGATAGCGACTTTGTTTTATACTATGTAGTAATTTTTAATTATTTATATAATTATAAAATCTTACCTAAACTATCATGACAGGTTTCTCCATTGCGATAGCTAGGCCTTAAAAATCTAAATCTATGTTACGTTTGTGATGGTATTCTATATGATAATGAGCGATTATATTTGCAGGTCACATGCAAGTGAACACAAGGAAGGAACATTGGAAGAACAAAAGAGTGTTCTTTGCCACTCCGCAAGTAATTTACAATGATATGAAGTCTGGTATATGTCCTTGTGATAAAATCCGGTGCCTGGTGATAGATGAGGCTCATAGAGCTAGAGGAAACTATGCGTATTGCCAGATCGTATCCACTTTAGATGATGTTGGTCATAAAACGTACAGGATACTGGCATTGTCTGCCACTCCTGGAAGCAAGGTTGAAGATGTTATAAATGTGAGTGAAATTTTTCATGTGGGTGCATTATGCTTCAGTATGAGTTGGTCGAGCGACCACAGTGATACCACTGCCTAGTTTAACAACCAGTTTCCACCATCTATCTGTATTTCTGTACATTTGCTAACTAGAGATAGAATTGTAATATAATTGGGTCTATGTTTTTATAATAACTATCGTGAGACATACTAAATTTGCTAAAATCACAGGTTGCTCACGTGAATATACTGAGAAAAGCTCTACTAGTTTCGAACCACAGAGGGGTTCTTCCTCATGAGTGACAACCACGCGCGGTCGCAGCGACCGCGCACGCTGCTTAGTAGAGCTTTTCTTAGTATATTCACGCGAGTAACCCGCGATTTTAGCTAGTTAATAATGGGGGCTACAACTTGGTAGATGGCGGAATTGTAGAACGATTTTTCTTTTTGTCCAATCACTGCAGCTGTCACATATTGAACATCCATTGGTGTGACACTACGTAATTCTCTATTGGACGCAAAACGAGAGGTTCACACTACCGTCTCTGGTGACCAAAAATACTGTCACCCCAATTAAGCAGCAAAAGCTCTATAGAAAATATTATTATGCCAAAATTCTATCTTGAGTAAGCAAATCTAAAGATAAATAGATTTATTATTCTAACCGGCTGTAACCAGTTTTGTGACAAGAATAGTGACTTTTCTGTCTTATCGCAGGTTGTAAAAAATTTACATATAGCTCACCTGGAGCTAAGGACTGAAAACTGTATCGACGTAGCGCCGTATAGCCACGCTCGTAAGATCAAAACTGTGGTGCTAGAACTAGGATTCGAATTGACTCAACTTAGGCAGCAGTATATCGAGGTAACAACATATCATTATTAGCTTACAAAATAATATATTGTATTTTATCATTATTAGATTGTTTCGAGGTCAAGACAATGGTTTCTGCAGCATTGCATAATTATGTATTCAATTAATGTCTCTTTGAGAATTATGAATTTTTCTTTTTTTTGTTGACTTTTTGGCTAGAATCCATTGAACTAAATTATTAAAAAAAAATGCTGTAGTTTCTAAACTGTGTTCTGACTTTGATCTTAAAAATAGAACTTATTTTTTTCAGATTTTAGATGGGTACGCTAGAAGACTGAAACAGATGAACATACTACCTCCGAACTTAGGGAATCTGTCTAAAGGCCGGATTGTGATGTTGTATAAAGAGTATCAGACGAAAGATCGAAGTTTGAGGTAAGAAAACTATTGAAACAGTATGGTAATTCCAAGAAAATCATATAGTACATATTTACATTACCTACCTTTTAAATCAATCAATTCAATCGTCAATTTTCGTAACTCGAGTACACCCCTGCCTATGGTCATTACCTGTCGCGGAGAACCTAACGGGTAACCGGGGCTCCGACTCGACGTGCAGGAGAAGGAACGGGGTGGTTTTTAGTCAGTCTGAGTCTGACACTCCCTCCCGCCTCACCCAGGCGGGAGCAGTCATTCGATGATTTTCCCCCTTAAAAAAAAAAAAAAAAAAAATGGTCATTACCTGAGTCTAGTCGTTAAAGAATTTTTTTTTGCGAAATCTTCCTGTTTTTAAGTTTGAACAAACACATAAAATTACCTATTATCAACACAAACTTCACAATTGAATAATATAGGTACTTGTACTAGACACTGATAAACAAATACACTATTTGAAAAGCCTACACATATATTTAGCTACTTGTACACATATTTACGTTTAAAACTAATTCCTAATAATTTAAAAGAAAACATATACACAAAGCGATCGCACATCACATGAAAACAATGTGACTGAAAATATTGGAAATGAATGAAGTCATTACCGATAGTAGTCAATTGAGTGTTTATTATAAAAAAAATATAGCTAAAACATTAAGGCAACCCAGTATTTCATTATAAAAAAACAAAACGTTAATTTACATCAGTCAAATGGAATTGCGTCATCGTCTTATTATTATTTGCCACTAAGAAACATTCATTGATAATATATTGAAAGAAAGAACGAAACAGCATTTATTTGGCAAATGGCACACAAACAAAAGTTATGAAAAATAAATTTGAAACTTTGATAGTAGCGGCAACTTGACGTTTCGATAACTTCCTTTTAACTTTTAAAATAATAAAGTCAACTCCTCGTTTAAAGTTTCTATAAACCAGCAACGAGTAAAAATGTTAACCTTTAATTAAAACACATGCAACATATTTTTAGAACGCATATATAAAAAAACCGACTTTAAAAAATCAAATACTAATAACAAATAAATAGTCAAAACTAAAAAGCAAAAATTAACTAGTATATATAGTACTGATAGGTTCCCCACCCACTGATAGGTGATTCATTAAAACCTTAATATATACGTAATTTACAATTTTGTGGTCATTAAGTTATATCATTTTGATATGAGCTTATGGCACCGACTTCTAACATATCAGTTCTAATAATAGTTATTTTTTGCATTTTAGTTTTAACTTTTTGTTTAATACGACAAACGCGACAGATACGACCAACACGACAGATACGACCGACACGACAAACACGACCGACACGACAAACGCGATAGATACGACAAATACGACCGACACGACAAATACGACAGATACGACCGATGCGACAAACGCGACCGACACGACAAACGCGATAGATACGACAAATACGACCGACACGACAAATACGACAGATACGACCGATGCGACAGATGCGATCGACACGACAAATACGACTGACACGACAAATACGACAGATACGACCGATACGACAAATACGACAGATACGATAAATACGACCGACACGACAAATACGACAGATACGACCGATGCGACAGATGCGATCGACACGACAAACGCGACAGATACGACCAACACGACAGATACGACCGACACGACAAACACGACCGACACGACAAACGCGACCGACACGACAAACGCGATAGATACGACAAATACGACCGACACGACAAATACGACCGATGCGACAGATGCGATCGACACGACAAATACGATCGACACGATAGATACGACCGGCACGACAAATACGACGAATGCGACAGATACAACAAATACGACAGATACGACAAACACGACTGACACGACAAACGCGGTAAATACGACAGATACGACCGACACGACAAACGCGACAAATACGACCGACACGACAGCTACGACAGTCACGACAAATATGACAAACACGACCGACACGACAAATACGACAAACACGACAAATGCGACAGATACGACAAACACGACAAACGCGATAGATACGACAAATACGACCGACACGACAAACGCGATAGATACGACAAATACGACCGACACGACAAATTTGACAGATACGACAAAGACGACCGACACGACAGATACGACTGACATGACAAATACGACTGACACGACAAATACGACAGATACGACCGATACGACCGACACAATAGATACGACCGGCACGACAAATACGACAAATATGACAAACACGACCGACACGACAAATACGACAAACACGACAAATGCGACAAATATGACAAACACGACCGACACGACAAATACGACAAAGACGACCGACACGACAAATACGACCGATACCACAGATACGACTGACACGATAAATACGACCAACACGACAGATGCGATCGACACGACAAACGCGACAGATACGACCAACACGACAAATACGACAGATACGACCGATGCGACAAACGCGACCGACACGACAAACGCGATAGATACGACAAATACGACCGACACGACAAACGCGATAGATACGACAAATACGACCGACACGACAAATTTGACAGATACGACAAAGACGACAGATACGACAGATGCGACTGATATGACAAATATGACAAACACGACCGACACGACAGATACGACTGACATGACAAATACGACTGACACGACAAATACGACAGATACGACCGATACGACAAATACGACAAACACGACCGACACAATAGATACGACCGGCACGACAAATACGACAAATATGACAAACACAACCGACACGACAAATACGACAAACATATATAAACATATATCTGGGTGTCATGTGTATGTGAACTTGTATGTTTGTAAACGCACCCACGATACAGGAGAAAATCCTAACGTTGAAAAAAACATTCCAAAGGGGCCACTAATTATTGTGTGCCCAAGAGCCCCAGCTTAGTCTAAAACGGCCCTGTGGAGGAGCGCTTAACACCAAGCAATTCTGAAAAACCGAATCCTTTTAAACTGCAATCTTCAACCCTCCTTCCAACCATGGTGATTCGTCTCGTCGTTTGCCTCCTATGCCATAAATGAAGTCAGTTAAAAAAATAGAGATCTACAAACATTTTTGAAAGCCACGTCCTAATGTGACAAATGTAAAGACCCATCTTCATTAATTTTTATTTGTTTTTATAGGCATCCGCAACACAACTACATAATGAAAGACTTCACGATCTTGATCGCTCTGTACCATGGACTGGAGCTGCTAGTCCAGCACGGTTCTAGAATATTCCTCAACTTCTTCGATGAACACCCGGAGAAGTCCTGGATGCAGGCTGATGATAGACTCACAGCCTTGCTGGAGAGGCTACGAGACGATCTGGGAGTAAACCCATTGTCGTTAGACAGGAGTATACTGCCTGATGGGACAATACCTGAGGTAATTATTTCGTATATCTTATAATATTATAAATGCGATAGATTGTGTGTATGTTTGTTACTCAATCACCTCAAAACGGCTGAACGGATCGGAATAAAATTTATTTATTTTGTAACGCGTGTTACAGGCAAATTCAGTCAAATTCAATAAGTAGATATTTAATGTCTCTTTCTCAACTCTCAATTGAGGCGAAAATGCAAACATTGATAAAACTCAGATAATATTGACATAAAAACCCAATACTTAATTGAAAAAACATAACTACTTAACATAATTATAATGAACTCATTATCATTTATTCTACAAAATATATTGTATCTATTTACAGATGCCAAAAGACTTGACATTCGGTCATCCCAAGTTTGATAAACTGAAAGAAATAATGACATATCATTTTGCTAAAGCACAGCAACTGAAACAGGATACACGAGCAATAGGTAAGTAGCAATATCGTTTAAATTAATAGATAGATATATAGATGAATAACTCTTTATTATACACCATTTAAGCTACATTACATTTTTTTGTACCAAAATGAATCTTATATACAATAGGTTACAGGCAAGCTATTGTATATAAGATTCCAGGTTAAGGTTACAGGTAGGGTTGCCACCCGTACTTTATAATAAAGTATTGTACGTTATTTAAGGTACTTGTACTCTATACTTTATATGAATAATAAAGTACACGAAAATACTTTATTTTTGCAAACTTCATTTCTATTAAAGTCGTAAGTATTTTTCGGTAAACTTATCGATTCGATATCGATATTTATCGATTTATATTGAATCGATTTCGCCACTCGCCAGCGCCTTTAGACAATTTCCAGTAAAGATGCAATTGTTTAGTAAAGACACTAATTTAATACAAACTGCAAAAAGCAATAAAATACATTTTTAAATATAATATATACAAATAAGAATAAATTGTACTTACTTTATTTTTGTACTGTGTACTTTTTTTCTTACCTATAATCGTCAATGTACTTTTAATACCAAAAAAAGGTGGCAACCCTAGTTACAGGCAATCTATAGTAACTAGAATTTTTTTTTTCAATGAGAAATCTTCGTCGAGCCTTCTTTGAAGTTCAAATACTAGTCTGTGTGGCCTATTTTCGATGAAGCGAGTCATCTACAATAATAATAATAATAACTTTATTCACCAAAAATAAAAGAAGTTACACAGTTTAAAACATATGACCTTGAAATTTCCCCCTTTCGTGAGTTTTCCGCACCGAGACGTAATTACCGTAAGACTGATTATAACGCATTAAATAATTACTTTGCTAAAATTAACTGGGAATCTACGTTGGACAAAAAATCAACGGACAGCGCGGTACATGGTTTTTATGACGCAATTCAAGCAGGAATTGATGAACACGTACTTCTCAGCCGACCTGTGGGTTCTCGCAGATATCCTATTTGGTACAGTAACGCCCTTATAAAAATAATTAAACAAAAAAGTAAGGCACACTCACGTTGGAAACGTTTCGGTAACCTGCTCGATCGCGATGAGTTTGCAATGTTGCGGGATAGACAGCTATATGTTCAAGAGCTTTGTTATAGTAAATACCTACATGAGACCGAAAATAGTCTGAAAGAGCATCCTAAAAAGTTCTGGAGTTACATTAAAAATTTGCGTGGAGGATCTAGTTATCCCGGAATGTTGTCCCGCGACAATGTAAACTACACAGATGGGAAAGACATTTGCGAAGCATTCGGCGACTTCTTTCATGATGTTTTTGGAGAACCCTCAGACTATAACCTAGCTGGTTTGAGGGTCACAGAGGTTGAGGATGGTTGTGGTGATATCATAACTGACCTTCGATTTACTCCATCAACTGTGGAGAGGTCGCTGAGTTCGTTAGGTACAGATAAGGGTCCAGGTTGTGACGGTATACCACCACTGTTTTGGAAAAGTTGCGCAAAGTCTCTAGCACATCCGATTAGTTTCATCTTTAATATCTCTTTGAGAGAAGGTACGTTCCCAAATGAATGGAAGAAAGCACTTATAATTCCTATACATAAAAAGGGTTCGCGAGTAAAAATAGAAAATTACAGAGGTATTTCTATACTTAATACTTTGGGTAAAGTATTTGAAAAGCTTGTGTATAATGCTATATATCCTTGCATTCTTAGAGGTATATCTTATAGGCAGCACGGTTTCTTAAAAAAGCGTTCGAGTATATCCAATCTAGCTTGCTTTTCTAACTTTGTCCTTGGCAATACAGATAAGGGAGGGCAGGTTGATGTGATCTACACAGATTTTGAAAAAGCTTTCGATCGTGTGGATCACAGCATCCTGCTCAGCAAATTATATAGACTGGGTATTCGCGGCGATCTTCTTCGTTGGGTAAAATCATATTTATTTAAAAGGTCACAGGCTGTAGTATTGGGTGGTTACCGTTCTAACTTCATAGAAATACCTAGTGGTGTTCCACAAGGATCCCATTTAGGACCTCTCTTCTATAATGCATATTTATTTGATATTACTGACTCTTTCAAACACTCCGAACACTTAATGTACGCTGACGACAAAAAAATATATTATAAAATAACTTCATTTGATGACTGTACAGCTCTCCAACAAGACCTTGACAATTTACATGATTACTATACAAGAAACAAGATTACAGTAAACGTCAAGAAATGTCAATGCATCAGTTACACACGTAAGAGGAACCCTATAACGTACTCGTACCAATTTAATGGAATTACTATTAATAAAGTTGAGATAGTTCGAGACTTAGGAGTTATGTTCGATAGCAAATTGGCATTTTCAAATCACATAGATCTTATTACTAGCAAAGCTTACAAAAATTTAGGATTCGTTTTAAGATCCTGCAAGGCATTTAAAAACATTGAAGCGCTTAAATCTGTATATTTTGCTTATGTTCGTAGCGTTCTTGAATACGCATGCCCAATATGGTCCCCTCAATATAATATGTATAAAAATCAAATAGAACGAGTTCAAAAAAAATTTATTAATCACCTTAACTACCGCCTCCGCAAACCTCCAATGTCTTACGAAAATAGCTGTCGAACGTATGGGTTGTTAACACTCGATGAACGACGTGAAGTGTTGGACATGTGTGTACTTTACGACATACTGAATGGTAGGCTGGATTGTCCGGATTTGTTATCACAAATCAAATTTAATGCTCCTCTACGACGCACTCGCCATACGCCAATGTTGCATGTACCTAGGCATGCCACTAACTATGCTAGTAATTGTGTACTTGCTCGCATTGCGCGAGCCTACAACAAAGACTTCTCTCAGGTTGATGTGTTTAACTGCACAAAACCTAGCTTTAAAGCCCAAGTTAAAAATATTATAATTGATAAAGGCAAGTAGCGGGCAACTTTGTTCCATTCACCATAAAGCATTTACCATGGAGCATTTACTATGTTAATTCATATTTTAATTAGGTTAATATTATTATCTCCCTTTCATAACAAGTAGTATATTTAACTTTCAATTCTATATTAAAACTTTATTTTTAAATATTGTTTAAAGTCCGTTCGCATGGTAAATACAAATTAAGTTAAGCAGGGAAACCTATTATTAGCCTTACTAAACTGTAATATCTTTATTTTGTATTATATCATATGTATCGCTGTTGGTTTTCTAAATAAATAAAATAAAAATAAAAATAAAATGAGCCAGTAACAGATTTCATATATGTATACAGTTATTGTGTCCTTGCTGTAGCTTCTGTTGCTGAACTAGGTTCATGACCTGTGTTTCAGCAATCAGTGCCTCTACTCTAGGAGATTATACAAGATAATTGTACACAAAACATAAAACATACAAAATATTGAATTAATTGTGAAACAAGTATTGTTTGTTGTCAGTATTCTGCGAGTACCGTGAGAGTGTGAACCTGGTACACTGCCTACTGCTGCAGTGTCGCCCTCTCATCAAACCGATGATGTTTGTTGGACAAGGTGCCTCTGGTAAGTGCATTTGTCATTTATTTTACTAGCACCTTCCGCGTGAAGTTTTATAGCCTATCTGAGGTCTTAATACGACTTTGGTTTACTCCAGCTCCATTGAACCAGCCATTAAAGCACCGAACGCGGTCTCATTGAGATCTCGTCAAACGAAAATTTAAGAATTAAGATGTAACAATCATTATTAAGATGGATAAGTGAACTTTTTGCTGTAATATCCTGTTCTTTGTTTGCAATGCGTGTCGTGGCACCCTTTAATTCAGGCTACACTATACAGTGTTAAAATATGTTAAAAACCCATCATGTATTCGGTGGTCATATACTCATACTAAACACTCTGTAGCCTTCCTTGGACCATCCATCACAAACAATTATTCTATTGTTGGAATCAGTAGTTCTGGAGATTAGCGTCCAAATAAACGATCAAAGAAATTCTTCAGCTTTATAATATTAGTATAGACTATTGAATATTTAGTCGTGATGGCCCGGAGGTTGAAGACGTCCGCTTCTCATGTACGAGGATGCGGGTTCAAAACCTACCAATGGCAAGTACCAATGTGACTTTCTGGGAGTTATACAATGTACTTTCTAAGATTATCTAGACACCAGTGACAAACGGAGAAGGAAAACATCGAGAGGAAACCTGGGCGTATAATTTCTAATTATAAGTTTGACATCGCCAACCCGTATTGAGCAAGCGTGGTGATTAATGCTCAAACCTTCTCCGTGTGAGAAGAGGCTTTGCTCAGCAGTGGGCATTTATAGGCTGTTGATGATGATTTAATACTTACAGGCAAAGACGGCAAAACGATAGTATCTCAAAAGCAGCAGTTGCGTGTGATGCGCAGTTTTCGTGAAGGACAGTGCAACGTGCTGGTGGCCACGTGTGTCGCCGAAGAAGGGCTCGACGTCGGCTCCGTAGACCTCATCATCTGCTTCGACATATCCACCAAGTCACCCGTACGATTGGTCCAGAGGTCAGTCTTATTCCAACTAGTTAAGACATATTTTTCTATGGCAGAAGGTACTATTAATTTATATTAATATATATTGGTATTAATACTTACTCTTAAAACGTAACATATTTTATTCTCTAAATAAAATGTAGAAGAGCAATGTTCCAGTACGAATGGGCCGGCTCGACCGGAGTGATACGACGACTCCATAGAAAAGCGGCGTGAAATAACGCTAGCGTTGTGTATCACCGTAAACTGAGGTTACTGGAGTTTTGGAACAGAGCATCTAACTTCATTATTTGCCTGACTGAAGAACAATTGTTATCGGCGCTCCAGAAATTATGATTGTAATAATATTTTTTAAATTGTTTTTTTTACTTCGAAGGTGCGGACGAACGGGTCGAGAGCGTGGAGGTGAAGTTTTTATTCTGGTCACTGAGGGCCGAGAACATCAGGTAATATTTGCCTTTATTTGACTGGTATAACTTAAAACCTATTGTTACTGCATTAAATCAGATGATTACATTTTGTTATATTCCTTACTAATTGTTCTAGGACTATGCATTAATATGAATATTTTAAATTCGCAATATGCAATATTCTAATGACTAGGAGTCAGGAATTATGTCCGAAAATATGAGAGTAGGTTCACCTATACACATCTTACTCTATAGTCACCGCAATACTGCACACAATGTCGCGGAGAACCTAACGGGTAACCGGGGCTCCGGCTCGAAGCGCAGGAGTAGGAAGGGGATGGTTTTTAGTCAGTAAGAGTCTGACACTCCCTCCCGCCACACCTAGGCGGGAAAAGTAATTAAATGAATTTTCCCCCTTAAAAAAATACTGCACACAGCAAAGTGTGATATAAGTAATATTATCAACTAGATTAAACTTATCGACTTACATTTAGATAAGAATCGGCAATTTGTAATTGTTTTACACTATTTACAATGTTGTAGACGTTAATAGAATGTATGCGACAACGAGATGGGTTGAACAAGAAGGTGCTTCAATCCAAAGAGGTCGAGAACAACCTGTACAAGCTGAACCCTCGTATGATCCCCCACGACTTCATGCCACAATGCCAGAAGATGTACATCACTGTAGAGAAGAAACAGGATCCGAAAGAAAAGGTTAAAGAAGGGATTGATAAGGCTAAGAAGGTAAGAAGTTTGAAATACTAATAATGAGTAAGTTTTTTAATTGTCAATAGTAATCTGATACAGCTTACGATGGAACACACCTGCCCATAAGGAACCTATTCAGTTGCAAATTGAATGATGAACAACTACTGTATTTTTAAATCAAATAACATGGAACTCATAACATAAATAAGATTGTTTGATTTTTAAGATTGCCAATGCACTACGGTTTTAAATAGCTAAACAGCCACATTTTAACAAATTCTACTTGCGGTAGTGTAAAAGAAAATAACCTCTAAAATTAGTAACAAAAATGTCATAATCCTTTATTAATCCAGGGACAAAAAGACCTGCGCGCAATGTTGGCTCGACCGTCTACGTCTACAAGTTCGAGAGAAACTGACAGTAAAGCTTTGATCACGGAAGATGAGTTCAAGGAGTTGTTTCCTGAAGGATATAGCAGCACTTCATTGTTTGCTAAACGTCAAGAGTACTGGGCGATGAGTAGAGGTAACTAGTAAAATTCATTTAAATCAAGTTGAAGGAAATTTGAAAGAAAGAACGAAAAAAAATCCATTTATTACGCCACGACACACAACAAGAATACAGGTACACACGGCTACACATCGAGCTTTACATAACCAGTATAAACTGAACGTTAAATGTGCGGAAAGATGATGCGACGCGACACCAGGATAAACTGGTTTTGTATAGATTGATGTGTGGCACGCACCGCGGTGCGTCGCAGCGCAAAGGGCTGGAGCTGCTGTGGCCACGAACTGACTGAACTGAACATACATACACACGACGAAACTTATTTTTAACCGACTTCAAAATGAAAAAAAGAACTTACTCTTTTTGTCCTGTATGTATGTTTGTGCGACATTACCTCGCGATTGGCTAAACCGATTTTGATGCGGTTTTCAGAAAAGTATTTATTACGCTTAGAAGAAATATAATAATAATATAATAATAATAATAAAAATCTTTATTTTCTCAAAAATACTCTACGGATACAAATTATATAATATGTTACAATTAAGAAGGTTTTAGTATATTAATTAACCGATTTCAAAAAAAGAGGATGATGAAGTCGGTTGTTTTAATCGTAGTTTATAAAAGAATTATACAATTTTTATTAAATACCAATGCTGTTTTATATCGGAGGCCTAATTACTTCTCCCCCCTATCCCAATCCCTGAGACCCCGACAATCCTCAAATTCTTAATTCTAAAAGGCCAGTAACGCACTCGTAACGCCTCTGGTGTTCCAGGTGTCCATGGACGACGCCGATTGCTTACCATCAGGTGATCCGTCTGCTCGTTTACCGGCTTAAGGTCCTTAATACCATAAAAAAACTTAAGGTCCTCATTCCTACTTATACCACAATATACTTAACCAATACCCTGGCCATATTAGCTGCACCGAGACTGTGCTTAAATAAGTCTCCTTTTAACACTAATCCATACTTAATATTTAAGCTAAAGAGTTGATATCTGGAACTACTTTTCTCTCTGGCAATAATTATTAATTTTGTATTAGATAGTCAATTTCTCGAGGAATGCTATAAGCTGTAAAAGTAGCATAACCCTACGATTAGTATGAGCCGAGCAGCGATTGAAACAGCATAGGAAAAACTAGTTTATGAGTTAAAATATTAATTTTCCAGGAAAATTAAAAGATATCAATACAACAGATGGAACAGAACTGAAACTAAGTAATTGGTTGGAATGGCAGCGGACTCTACAGACGACGGTGAACGTACAACACTCGAGGGATGCAGAGATACTGGCGGAACTGCTGCAGTACAGTGATGCTAAGAGATTCGACATGCCTGTCTCTACGCAAAATCCTTGTAAGTATTCTTTAATAAATTATTTCCAACATAACATAACGCCTTTTATCCTCGAAGGGGTAGGCAGAGGTGCACATTACGGCATCTTATGCCACTGCAGAATATAACACCTTTTTACTATTTATGTTATCGAGTCCCAACTAATAGGGGGTGAGCCTATTACCATAATACCGGGCACAATTCCAGTCTCCGTGCTACTACTAAGAATTTAAAAATAGCCAGTAATACTTTGCCCGATCCGGGAATCGAACCCGAGACTCCTTGCCCGGCAATCGCATTTGCGACCATTCAGCCAACGAGGCAGTTAGTTAGTATCCCGTCCAAATCACTATCACTACATTGAATGAAACAAAGTCACTATCCGCCGTCAACGGATTTTGATGCGGTTTTTTTAATAGATAGATAGATTCTAAGAAGGTTTATATGTATAATACATGCATATTGGACCCGTGCGAAGACGAGGCGCGTCGCTAGTGAATAATAAAGTAGGTGTATGCACGTAATTTTGATCGAATAACACTTGGGAATTTTACATTATAAAAAAGACTAGCCTTCAATCATTCTTTCTGTTCCAGGTTTCGGCAGCCAAGAACTTCGTTCCCAGCCCCTCGTTTTAAGGTCTCCAGCTAAAAATATGTCTCCGGCAAAAACAAACAGATCTCCAGCCAAAATCAATAAACAAACAATCAAAAAGAAACAAAAACTCCCTTTAACAAAGCCACAGGATAAAAAAGATGGTGATATTCGAGCTCTATTTAGTACTGCAACAAAATCGACTAAAAATTACACTAAACTTATCAGTGACTTGGGTCTACAAACTGACAGTGGTGTGCCTACACGACTTATAAGCTTACTCGTAGACTTAACCCTCGAAAATACAAATACTAATAAGAATTGTTACGTCTGCCAAAACATTTGCGCTTGCAATCTTTTAAAAAGTAAAAAGGAGGATAATAAACTTCCAATGGTAGTTTTAGAATCTATAAAACAACCTAGACTACCTGACATATATTTAATCGATGATTTTGATGCAGAAACAATAATGAAGTGTATGAAGAAGTCTGATGAAGATGATGATGATGTTAATATGGATAATTTTGATTTAGGAGACGATTTTCTTTGTGAAAGTCCCGTGTACGGTTCTCCTATTGAAGAAGACAATAAGAAAGATGTAGTGGCTGCAGCTACAGATAATTTTGATATAGGTGACATTGATGATATATTTGCTAACAGCAGTCCGGAAGAAGCCATAGAAAAAGAGATAGATAAGAACGACAAGCCTGTGATAAAAGCCGAAGAACGTTTGAGAAAAGACGAAGTGCTTCCAAACAAACCGGAATTATTTACACAAGGCCAACTGCCTCAAGGCAAAAGCGAAGTACTTGTAGGAAAAGGCCAAGAGCTTCAAGACAAAAGCAAAATGCTTATAAGAAACGACGAAGAACCGAAGGAAGCTAAAGACACTCTAGGCTTCTTCGGTTTAGACAGCATTGATGACATATTTGCTGACGACGAAATTGACAATACACCTCCAGAACCAACCCAAAATAAAACCAAAGATAAACCAACACAAAACACTAAAATCAATAGATCACCTTCTATACAATATCCCCTCAGTCCCTCTATTCTATCTGGTAGGGTAAAACTAGATGTGCCGACTTCACCTATATTGTGCAGTCAACCTCGGAAATTCCAATTAAGCACGAAAAAGAATAGATCACCGAATTCTATACTAGATGCGCCTAGTTGTAGAAAACAATTGATTCAAGATTCAACACACAATAACCTTGATATGGCTGAGCAATCTGAAAGTTCTAAGAGAGCTAGTCTTATAGATACTAGCAACAAAAGCCTAATGACGATCACACAACTGGTAGAAATGATAAATAAAACTGGTAATGAATCGACATCAATAACAAATGCTTCCAATAGAAAGCAAGAAAAAGAAAGAAGTCTCTCTCCCATACTCCTAACGCAGGCTGAGAAGAGATCCATTATCCATACAAACTCAATAGACAGACCCGGTGTCAGTACAAACGCTTTAGACAAATCTATCGCTTCTACGTCCATAACTAAAGACAGTCTTATCGTACTAGACAGTGACAGTGATTCAGACGGCACACAAGTTTATGACGTCACAGAATACTTTAACACTAATAACAATAGTAAAATACACGATACTAATATCAGTCCCATGGCAAACAAGAGAAAACGAGACTTAGACGATAGTGAAGTAATAACGGCCTCTCCGTATTTCAATAAGAAACAGAAATTAGACAACGAAACCGCCAAAGAAATAACATTACAAGAAAGAGTGTTAGCAGTTATGAAAAAGAATAAAAACAAAATCATGAACAATGACAAAACGGTACTGAATTGTGTTGTGTCGCAAGGATTCTTGTCTCAGAAGGAGAATAAAAATCCTCAGCTTTTGAACGGTGATGCTGACGACGAAAAAAGGGATGAACAACAAAAACAAATGAATTTAAGCATGCTACAAATGTTCAGACGGGAGAACAAAGTTCAAACAGTCAGGAACAAGTTCAGCACAATATTCAAAACTCCCAAATCCCCTCTTCTCGATAAACGGAAAATAGCTTTTGAAGATAGCGATGACGACTTTGAAGATGACAAAAACTTTGGTCCTAGCAACCGTACGGGGAACAAAATGGATGACACTTACAGATCTACAACGAATCACAAAGTACGGAAAGTAAGTCGCTTTTGTTTACGAACTAAAATCTAATGCCCGAATACTGAAAGGCTACTCTTCTTTCTACAATTTTAAGTTGTACTTAAATATCGTACCATCTTTGTCGTTTAACGAATAATTTCTAGTAACAGAACTATACCTAAATGCGACTTAAATTTGAGTGGCGTTTGAGTACATCATAGTTACTATATGTTTTGATATTCTCTTCGTTACTTATATTTTCGGATTATTGTTTAAAACTTACCTTTGCCTTATTCATGTTTTTAGAAAAAGAACAAAAATAACGATTTCTTGGATTTGGAGGCTGTACTGACTGATGAAGAAGATCATAGCGGTGATGAGCTATCTGACGAGAGCATCGGTAGCATAGTGGACTTTATATGCGATGATGATAACACCACCCACCACGAGGATATACAAGCTGTTTACCTCAAGTCTGTCAAGTAAGGGATCATAATATACTAACACTCCCCTCTCTAACAACTCTTATTTTGTAAATATCTGATGACTAGCTACTTCCGCGCGGTTTCACACGCTCTGCTCAGCTCCTATTGGTCGTAGCGTGATATTTTATAGCCTATAGCCTTCCTCTCGATGACTGGACTATCCAACACAAAAAGAATTATTCAATTCGAACCAGTAGTTTCGCAGATTAGCGCGTTCAAACAAACAAACAAACTCTTCAGCTTTATAATATTAGTATAGATTGAAGTAGACAATCAATTTAGTAAATTGAAAAGTAAAGAACTTACCTTCGTCGTCTATGTTGACCACTCTTCTCTGCAACGTTTCTCGAATCAACCGCACACACCAAATATTAGTAACGCAATGAATGACGAATGAACTTAAAGACTCCCCTTTTTTTTCTTTTTGTGAATTTAATTTTGTATAAAAGCGCATCACTATGAACAGGGGACTTACTCTTGAATCCAAGTTCGATCCATCAACATTGATATTGTGAAATGTCGTACTCTTGAGTCGCAACACTAGCGCCCATTGCATCCGTATTACATGGCTCTATAATCCGTACTCTGAATGCTATTTTAACAACTAAGATTGGGGTTGTATAGTGTTGACATTGAATAATTATTGAGATTTTATTGGATTGAAATTAGTTTCAAGAGTAAGCGACTGTTTGAATTCAATGCTTTGTTGATGTCTTTCAGGAGCCCCGTAAGAGGCGGCGGTTTCAAGATACCAGAATTACCAAAGAGGTTTAATAAGGAAGATATTTTATCTCAGTATGTTGAAGAAGATTCATATGAAATGGTATGTTTGCCAAAAGTATTTTTAGTTAAGGCTGTATCTTATCGGTTTAAGGTCGCTTTTCGCCTATTTTTAATATATTTATCATTGCAGGATAGTTTCTGTGTTGACTCTAACATCGGTTTAACACAAGGGCATGAAATATCAGAGCTAGAATTAGCCGAAATGAAATTAGAGGCGAAAAGGAAAGCAAAGAAAAAGTTCAGGCGAATATGTTCGCAGGAGGAAAGTCCGGATATGGCAGTGGTAAAGAAAAATAAACCTAAAAGGAGACTTATTGAGAGTGATTCTGAAGATAGTTCTTAGACGTATAATTAGTAAATGTATCTGGTGCTAGAAGAACATAATTATAATATCTAGGAGTAGAGTGGCTATCTTTTGTTATATTTTTACATTTACATGAAGTCACGTACTTTTGATGAGATAAAACTAAAATAAACGAATGTGCGAATCTCCCATCGGCGTCAGATTTTGTATAATAGCTCGCAAGTCTAACTTTCGTGTGCCATATTATAAGTTGGACATTGTAATGCAGTAAGGTACATTAGTCTTCAGTGAAGCTCTTTATAAGATTTGTTACAATTAACATTCAGCCGGCCTGAATATGTCACTGTGATATAAATTATAGTTATGATTTAATAATACTTTGTATTCATTTTTAAGTGAATTCTAATTGCGACTTGTCACCTATTATGTAATTAATGTTAAGTACTTGATAATTTTCTATGAATACTTGTAAATCATGTTGTAAATAAAACATATTGTATTGCTCTTACGAATTACGTTTTATTTCCGATTTTCGTCAGTCTAGTACTTAGGAAATAATAAGAAATATATAGTTCAATTCGAGCGAGTGAATTGGAAGTTTGCTTGCCAAAGAAATACTCTTGTTTACAGAATTTTAAAATAATTAAAAAACAGCTGCTATGTTTATGCCAAGATCGTTTTCAAATGTTTGTAAACAAATGACAAAGGTACGAGTTCGGCGGTCTGATTGGTTGGTTCATTGGAGCCGGCCAATCACAACGCCGAACGCGTACTCGTTACGATTACTTTAAACGTAAAAGAAACTCGTACTATGACCTCTGTTCTCACCAAATAGCACTTTTCAGCGCTTTTATTCTTCTGCTATCACCAAAATGAGTGAGGACAAAAATGAAGAAAGTTTTACTCTCAGGACCGCTACAAGTTATTATGGATCTTATTCCAATGATTTTAGAGTTCATATTACTTTATTTCGATACAATCTACTGTACCATGCCGCCGGTGAGCGTCGGCCCTTATAGTCTGTTTACAAACATTTCACTTCGATCTTGGTCTAATTATAGTAGAATCACACTTCATAATGGCCTCATTATGGCAAATCTAATAAGTACGGCTCCAAAGCGCTGTCAGCGACGCGTAAGCACGCGGGCGCCTCGACTACACCTCGGTGGACCTCGCGCTGGTCACCGGCCGTCGGCTTTTTGTATTGACGTTATAAAATATATCATACGACATACGATTTAAAGTTCATATTTAAATGACAACTTAATTGCTGTGTTGGAGGCGTGCTTATTAGATGAACCTTTACGGAGATGCGGCGCGTCTCCGTGAATGAGGCTTTACTGTTTTGTTTAATTTCTTCAAGTCTAAATAAAACAAATGCAAACTCCATCAGCAAGATCGAACATCTTAATACATGGAACATATCGTAATTATCTGTATTTGTCATTCAATAATATAATTGTTTATATTATATGTTACTCGTCCGAAGCTTTCGATTCTACTTCCTTCGGCTGCCTTCCTTTGTGAAGATCCTCTAATTCCGTTTGAAGTTCTGAATATCTTTTTTGCAGTTGTTTTTCTCTGTCGGTTTGACGGTTCACATCTTCAGTTAGTGACTGTAATGGAATAGAACAATTCGTGTTTATTTTATTTTTAAATATTTTCAACTGGACGATTTACAATTTAGTGAAGGGCAAAGTTAAATTAGAATGAGGCTGATTATTCATATTGTATATGTTATGGCACGATTTATCGTTATTATATTAAAAAGTATATTTCGTAACTCACCTCTATCCTACGTGGAATGGCTGCTTTTTCTTGTTCAGCAAGGAACTTGAATGTGGACAGTTCCAAGTTGGCTTGTTCTATCTGGTCTTGTAACTCCTGGAACTGTTTGATGAGGGACGCTGCCCTGCTCTGGTACCCACCTGGTAAAACAAAGAATTTATTCGTTTATATTTCAGATAAAGTGACCCATCAAGATTTTAAGGCATGATAAAATTATTAGTACTGGTTTAAAAATTTAATTCATTTTCCTACGGCTGCGTAAAATGAGCAATAATTTGAGCCATCAACCATTTAAAAACATCAACATACCTGTCAAAACTCTTAGTTTCTTCTCCATTTTGGAGCATTTCTTCGCTTCTTTAGCCATGTGACTCCTGTTTTGTTCCAACCGCTTTTCAGCAGATTCCAATCTGTCTTTTTTACTAGCTAAATTGGCACGAGTGTATCTGTTTTGACCAGGCAAGAAGAGAACCTGAAAAGTAACATTACTTTTAAAGTATAGTTTTGGGTGGCATTACACAATAATTTTTATGACGAAAAATCTTTTTATATTTGTTGCGCAAATTGTCTCATTATTGCGCAAAATAAACTAATGAGTTGCGCAAATTGCTACTCACTTGTGCAAGACACTCTTCCCAGACTTGAGTGTAGGCGTCCATGCTAAGTTCTCCGTGGCCCATGCCCGCCTTCACGACTTCCATCTCCTTCTTCATCTCAGCTTTAGCGGCTTCCAATTCTTCAGAAGAGAATTCCTCGTACGGATTCTGTTCTAAATACGCTAAGTGCGAGGCTTGTAACTGAACTGCTCGTTTCTTGTCTATTCCTGTTTTGGGAAAAGTTTATGGTATAATTAGTATTTGCTTTTATTTATATCACTGTGATATAAAAAAAGGAACAAAGTTTACAAGCCGCTTCATGGCATTTTGTTTTAAATATAGTCCTGGTCTAAAAGCTTTGCAGATAAGTACCACACTACTAAATTGAATTTCTTTACGTTTTCACTAGTACAGGATAAATCTATCGTAGCGAACAGTGATCTGGAGAATCGACTCAAAACGACAAAAGGATGGAAGAAGCAAGATGCACATGTACCAGGCGGCGGGTCTCGCAGCGAGTCGTAGTGCAGCATGGTGAGCATCTCGTGTTTCAACAGCTCTTCCGCCTGCTGCAGGGCGGAGAGTGCCCCGCCCTGTCCGCCCTGCCCCGCCGGGCCGCGCACCACGCTGCCGTTGACCTCGCCGGGTCGAACCGCGCCGCGCTGGATCGCCTGCGACCGCAGTTTCAGCGCTGCCAACCCTGTATGAGAGCAGACATATATATTACAACTTAGAACAGTTTTCCGACCAATTTTAAGGGCATCCTGAAGAGCTTTGAAATATGTTCTATATTCAATCAATTTTATTCTATCTTCCCTTTGAAACTGAAATGTGGCTGAAATTTTAGTTTGATCCTCAACTTATTGACTACCTTCTCTAAATTAGGAAGTAACAATGGAGCAACATATTACATTAATATCAATCAACTTTCCACTATAAGTAGACAATGCTCATCGTTGACTAACAGAACACGGTATGTAGGTAACTACTTACGTATTTCTTCCTGTTCCTGCTGCAGCCTGGCGTCTGCATCAGCCTGGTCTTCCACCTGCATGTCGGAGCTGGAGCTCTCCAAGGGCTCGTCGTCCTGGTCGGGGACCACGATCTCATAGTCGTTGCGCGGAGTGGGTAGCGAGGACAAAGCGCTACGGACGGACGCTTTTTGCTGTTATTTGAAAATAAAAACACAATTTTATTAACTACATTAAATTTCACCTCGTTTTCTGATTATTTAAATTAGATTTCTACTTAAAGCACTTGAATATTTTTAAGAATGATTTTATCCTGATGGAAATCCGTATAATCTGCTAAAACTGTGTACTTTTTAATGACATAATCAGACAGAAACAGTGAGGAACTTTGTTTTATGTATTGAAGTAGATTTTATAAACGCATATAAGAACATTAAACTGTCAAACACCAAGCGGTCACCGGTGACCGCAACCTATTGTTCTATAATTGTGTCTACAAAACTGGTACTCGACAAGTTAAATGAAGTTTTTACCGCATAATAATATCATCATAATCAGTACGTACCTGTTTTTGCAACTGATTGGCAACCTGAGGTGTGTCGCCAGTGCTTAGTCTATCTTCTGGATTAATGCTTAATTTGTCACGAAGTCCTGGAGTCTGAAAAACGTACAAAAGTTATACCAACAGGCAACAAATAGAGAAAACATATGTAGCATGCGGCTAAATAAGCTAGTTGGCTGTGCCATATGACTTTTGTAGAAGAAAAGTTTAACATACAACTAGTCCTGGTTGTGCTGCGGCTTGACTGGGCGTATTGAAACTACCGGGAGTCGACACTTCGCTGCGAGATGACCTGTACCAGACAATTACTATTTAATTAACTTTACATATAGCTATTATATTTATCAATAAAATATTTAAGTCAAGTCTTAAATTGGGAATCAGGTATTTTTACTAACCTGAATGGTGTGATTAGTACAGTATTAGGTGTAGCGACGGCCTGTGACTGTGGTAGAGCTCCGGAGAAGTCTGTTTGATGTAGCGGAGTGTTCAGACCTCCTTTGAGAGGTGTGTCTACATGTGTCAGAGCCATCACGTTTTGGGCTTCCATCAGGATTCTAGAAAGCAAATTTAATTAATATAATTCATATAGTGAGGGTCCTACGCCTAGAAGAAAATCTTTTTGAAGCTCCATAGCTCCGATGATTTGATTCTGATTGGTTAAAACATTCTCCTTATTCAAAATCATTTTGCCTAATGAATTTGCTTGATATTCTGATATAATTTACTTATAGCTAATATACAATATGATTAGATTTCTTGCGATATGTGCAACCCACTATCAATCGTATCAATCAATTTACCTGGTGAAAACCGTTCGTGGGAGGGCAGTGAATCGATTGGTCACCGCAAAAAGAATAACACACACTGTTATACATAGAGCTTCTTTCAAAAGTTTAAAAGTGAAACAAACACATACACAGACAGTTTTTAAGTTTTTTTCTGTAAATGTAATTGAGACTTGGCTGGGGTACTGCCGTGCCCCCAGATAAAGAGTACTAGCCTTAGCCCGCGGCTTGGCAGGCGTTTAATGACGTGCCTGAGTAATGAGTACTAGCGTGTACCTGTCCTGGTGCTGCGCGGGCGTGCGCAGGGCGGCGGGCGTGGCGGGCGTGACGGCGTACTCGGCCAGCAGCGCGTCCGTCGCCGCGCCCGCCCCGCCCGCGCTCTCTCGCGCCGCCTCCGACGCCCGCCCCAACTTCACCACTTGTTGTAACTCCTGTACCACGACAGAACATAACGTTACTAAGTATAAAATTATCGCGCCAACTCACTAATAATAATTTTAATGTAAGAAAATATTGATGTGATACAGAATACAGGAACTACAAAATAGCCAATGAACAGGTGATATACTGCAGACCGGAGAAACACTTAGCTGCTGACAATAATCACCCAACGCATTTGCTTACAGTCCCTGCAGACTATAATTATCCCACTAAACTTGTGCCCAATGTAATTGACAATTTAAAATTAAAATCACTTATAACGCTTAACGCAACTGCGCAATGCATTGCGCAACCGTTGCGCATTAATGACACTGGCAAAAAAAAAATGCTCTCTTTGACATGAATAGTTTACCTGGTCAGTAACTTGCGGTTCCGGTAGCACCAGTTTGCTGCGCTTACGTGCTGGCTGATCTCCTTGCAGCATGGCTTGAGGCACGTCATTCTCCTTACGTTGCTTTAACTTCTGCTTATCCTTACGTCTGTCTCTCTGTAATACAACAATTCAAATTAAGAATTACTCATACTACTAATACATATAACAAATGCGAAAGTTTTCAGGATGAGGAACAAACATTATAAACATATTCATATAGATGTTTGTTACTCTTTCACGATAAAACAACTAGACAATTTTGGAAGGAATCTGGTACAGAGATGGATCATAGTCTGGAATACATGGGGTAGTTTTTATCCGGAGAGAGCGAGGGAAGCCGCTAATTGTCATCTAAAGCAGTGGTTCCCAAAGTTTTTAGGATTACGACCTATCTAAATCAAGTTTCCAAACTATGGCCCACTTTTTGAAAGTAAACCATTACCAATATGAATAGTAAAATACAGAATGGTTGGTTAGCGTGTTTCTATAAAGCCCACTAAAAATGTGCTAATTACCCATGAATAGGTCCACTTGTTTCACTTGTTTCACCCATAATTTGGGAAACCCTGTTCTAAAGGAAACTTAAAGAATACAGACTAATGTTCTTCCTCACCTCTTCCTTCTCTGAATGCAGCTCTCCATCAAGATGTTGTTGCCTGAGCCTCGAGAAGTCAGGTGCCATAGGATCTACCACTTCAGTGGATGTGTCATAGAATCCAGATGCCGGTTTCTTCTCGAATGGTATTTCCGAGTTATAGTCTACTCCACGCTTCTTCTTACGCCTGCAAGTAAATAGTAAAAATGGTTTTTTTAATTTAACCCAATTAAAAAAACAAGACAAAAAACCTAT